TGCTGAGGCTGACTGCCTGGCAGTGGCTTGAAAGGGGGTACAGCAAAAAGGCAATGAACTGAAATTGTAGCCCCCCCTCCAGCGACTAGAATAAAATCTGTAGCTGGACATGGCCTGTGCATAGGCAAAAAATAAATCTGCTTGTCCCCAAAATGCTGAACAGCCCCCTATGCTCAGCTCCTGGTACACCCTATATGTGGCTGTGCTCCCCCACTTGCAATAAGGGTCCTGGGCCACTGCTCCTGGGTGCACCCACACTGGGCTAAAATGCCCTCAGTTGGTTTGCATCCTCATTCCCTTGTCCAACGGACTTCATTTTCTGTATTTACACCTTTTTCAGTCCATGAGTCATTAGCAACTATTGGACAGTTTGAACCTCAGATTGGTTTCTTCTTCACTTTTTCATGGAAGTGTTGAACGTTGTCAAGTTGGATTCATTACTGAGGAGTGAATACTTTATAACACCATCATCAATGAACCATGCGCGGCAATCAAAGAAAGACATCAATGTGATTTATTTTAATTATATTTACTTCCTGTGATTTTTTTATTCATTGAGTCCTTTATCAGCTGTTCCACATTTTTGCCAAGAATCAATTTCAAGCTGTAAATCAGTAACAGTATTAGCCTTATAAATACTTGGCTCTCCTAACCTGCCCTTTTAAAATACTGGCACAAATTCATCTCTCAGTCTTCTGCAACTTCCTCAGCACTTCAGTGTTACTGAAAATAATGGGGATTTAAAGAGCTCTTTGGCCACATCTTAATAAGACTCAATGAATATGCTGGCAGTTTCATGATGTTCAGCCAGGGTGCATCGCAGTGGGGATGTAGATTTTGCCATGGATGTTTTACCCCACTGTTCCTACATGGACCGTTAACGGTGCCTACATCATGTTCACCATGACTCTGCCGGTGTCCCAGTTTGCTGCTGCACCAATGCACGTAGAATAAGGGATCCAAGAGTTAAAATGGGAATGAGCCCCTCACAAACAAAGCAGCTCAAATCACTACATTGCAAAAATCACTTAGACATTTTTGTCAGTCCTACCTCATGGCAGTAATCACTGGAGCTAATAGTCATTAATTACCTTTGTCAGGTGAAATGTCTTTAATTGCCTGCAACTTTACTTCCAGGAAACTCCCACTTTCAGCTGCCACTGCCAGCTTAAAGGCAACGTCTCCAGGTGGTAATTTTTAGGAAAAGTCCAGGAAAATTAACAAGGGATGAAGTCATGCGTGGCCCAGCTCTGGCTGTGCAGGATCAGTATGTGTCCTGGAGCCACCTGCCTGCATCAAGAAGAAAGGTCAATGGGATGGGGGTGGAGGAAGAAGGTGGTCAGCCAACCTGTCATGTAATCCAAGGGCATTCTTTTGTGACCTTTTCCTCTCCCTAAAAAATGAAGGAACCACGGTAGCAGACTGCCTGGAGAGCTGCTGCTCCTTGAACCTTGACAATATGCATCCAGCACTGTGAGGAGACATTTGGCAGACAGCATTCAGCACACGCCGTAGCTGCTCTAGCTATCAAGCTCCCATACAGATGCTCATTGAACTGTCAGAACATCAGGAGGAAAATAAATTAGTTGTAAGTGGAAGAAGGTTAGTTAACTCTTTTCTGGAAGTCCTATATAGCCATTAAATTGCACAGGAAACTCAATAATAATGGGTAATAACATTCTTCCAGGGAATTAAATAGAAGCCAAATTTATAATGCTGTTTGGCATTCAAGCCAGAGTGTTCCACCTTCCTGGTACATGATCAACATTTACTAATCAATCCTCACAAAGCCTCGGTGAAGCAGATCTCTTCACACCACTGATTCTGTTTTATAAATGGGAACAAGAAGATACAAGATACATCCTTTGAAGCTGGGGTTGTGTGTGTCTTCAAACATGATTTGGGTCTCTGGGAGCCCACTTGGCATCTGTGTTTGAATACTGAGAGGTTTGTAAAAAGCCTTGGAGCCAGGATCAGAAGTCAAGGTTTTTTGTGCCCCTTCGCTGTGCTCAGACCATCACAGCATGTTTCAATATGACTCTTCAACACAGTCTCCAGAATACTGATATTTTTCCTGCATGATTATATTAGATTGCAGGAATGGTATTTAGAAAAAAAAGTCAATGTTCTTAAGTCTCAAGTAAGAGCAGTAGGAACCAGCTCATAATTTAGCTGCTAATTATATCAGGATTCAAAGGATCCAGACTTATGACCAAGTGGCAACTCTTATTTGCAGAATATGAATATGGATTGTATGGGCAGTGTGTTGTCAAATAAATGGGGATCTAATTTACACCAGGATGGTAAACTATCCATGACCACAGACGAACTAGAATTTGATGCCATTTTAAGATTCTCTCCTGTATCCTTGTCACCACTAAAGGCATAGCACGGATAAACACAGGATATAAGGAAAGGGAGTTTCATCCCAGCACTGAGCTGCAGCAAAAGTGGGGATCTTTCCCATCGATTTCAGTTTAATTTTTGTCTGCTTACACAGGATCCTAATTTGAGTTTGCAGTTGATTCCATGACCCGTCTCACATAGCACAGATGGAGATTCTGCAGTAGTCATCAAAGAGCAAATGAGAACGGAGATGAACACAAGACAGGACTGAAATGGGGTTGTGTACACATGGCGTTATGTGATAAAATGGTGAACTAAAGTCCAACTTCTCAGTTAATCCATGTTTTAGTGTTTAAAGTGCTGCCATGGTAGCCTAACAAGTAGTTTTCTACTTTCAGGCACTACCAAGCTTAGCTGAAAATCTGGCTTGGGCAAGGAAGCATTTTTTTCCAAACCATTTTTGGCTAAACAAACTTTGACACAACAAAAGTAGTTAAGTTCCCAAAAAGAATAGCTCTACATTGATGTTGGACTGTTCAGAGAAAGCAATGCAACCTTTAGTTGCATCCTCAGTAAAAAAAGCATCTCAGGAGTTTATTACGATTTTCAATATGCCAGAGATGTCACTAATAATACTTTAAAATACATAACAAGGAAAGAAAATGTCCTTTACTAGCTGTACAGATATTGGTCCACGGTTAGCACAGATCAGAGAGTATGTCAGGGGAGTCAGAAGATTGCTCCCATCTCCTCCTTGAATTAATTAACATTAAAACCATGCTTTTACAAGATCAGACACGTTGGATAAAATTCCGATTTGCTTGAAGTCACCAGGACCTTGTCCATTGCTTTCAATGACTGCAGGATTTTACCCAATATTTCTAACAGACTTTTATAAAATAGTGTTGAAAAAGGTCTCAAGAGCCATCCTATCTCTTTCCTTGCCGCAAGGCAGGATCAGCTACATCTATGTCAGCCCTGATGGATGTTTGTCTAACCGGTCCTGAAAGAGCTGCAATACTCCATAGCACCTTGAGCTCTGCTTCCATTTTCACCTGTCCCAAGATATGAAAAGAAAAAGGACTTGTTAACCAACTCTGCCAGGATTTTTGACTGGCTTAAAGGACCAGTGACAATTTTAACACCTGATGTTTCACAATCTGCTAAGGATAGGAGCTAATCCTACCCACCCACCAGGGAGCTTTCCCATTATTTATTGACATTTTTTCCCTTTTTTCTCCTCTTCTTGAGATATCTGACATGAAATCATGTCATTCTGATTCCCATCTTGCCTTTTCCTCCACCATTTCAATTCTGGTCTGATTTCAGTGGCTGCCCCGTAAGCGCCGATAGTTACAACTAATGTGGTTTTTTTTTTAATCTGAAGGCCTGTCAGTCTTCCAGTTGTGCATCATAAAGTCTGTATAATTTTAATTTAAATGCCAAGTGCTATAATTATGTTGGCAATGTGGAAAGGCAAGGAGGCAGCAGAGCAATAACGACCAGGCAGGAATGGAGCATTAGGGGGGTGGAAGCAAAGGAGGGGTGGGCAAAAGAAGAAATATTTACAACTGGTCCTCGCAGCAGAGCACCTGTATGGTTTGGTTATGCTTCCAGAATGAAACCTCACTGGTCGTTAACTGCCCTTTGCCTGTACTCCAGTGCTCACAGAAACAAGGTGAGGTCTTTGCTTTGGTTTCAAGAAGACCTGAGTCTCACTCAGAAAATAACGATAAAACACAGCTCCTCATTGACAGGCAGTTTGAAATACACTCCTTGCATCCCCTGCAACTACAGGAAAGCTGCCCCACAGCCACTCAGAATATGTTTATGGTTCAGAAAGGGAAACACAGACACAAGATTAACATTTACAGCTGGTATTTCTGAAAGGAAAGGTCTGAGGCAGATGCTCACACATAGCAGCCAGAGAATGAGAGGTGGATTTCCCATGCAGCCTCTCTCACTCCAGGGTACATCATGCATTAAGCTTTCACAATAAATGTTTTGAAAAACTTGCTACGTGGAATCCAACAGCAAATAGCACAATTTGGTGTTGCTAAAGCATGTGAGAAAAGGCTTCGTACTTGCAGTCTGCTCTTAACCCTCAGTGAGGGTTTTATTCCCCAAATACAAACACTTAACAGTCCCTACTGGTAAAAGACAAGACAAACAGCCTTTCAACCGAGCCATAAAATATCTAGTGTCATATATAATCACAAAACCTCCTGACATTAAAGGGTCCCAGCTTTCCACGTGGGACAAAGTTGATTAATGCCATGAGAGACCAGTAGTGGCTGAAACAGAGTTTTAAATGTGGCTCTGCCAGAAGCCTCCTCTGCACCATCACTGCCACCAAACAGAACAGAAGAACACTTGGAAGGCAGGAGGAAAGCGGTGGGGCACTGGAGGAGTGGTGCTGTGCTGCTGGCCAGAGAATCCCTCACACGCTGTTTGCAGGAAAAATAGCAACTGATTCAGAGGCTGGGATGGAGGGTCAGTGTAGGAACCAGGACAGCTGCTGGGACATACGACCCATGGGGATGCGTCTTTAGCATCACTTCGGTATCTGTGGCTTTGAACTGCCTCAGGAGTTTCGTAGGATTCACAGAGAGGTGAAATCAGTGTCCTGGGGCAATAGGGAAAGCTTTGTCTGCTCAGTGTTGTCTAAAGATTAGGTTCCTGAAGGCATTGTTGTAGTTTTTGTTGAAAGCAGTGTAGATTAGTGGATTAAAAAAGGAATTTGAATAGCCTAGCCACAGAAAAATACTCTTCCAAATGGGTGGGATGTCACATGAGCAGAGGGGGTTGATGAGCTCCGTGATGAAGAAGGGGATCCAGCAGAGCACGAAGACCCCAATAAGGATGCCCACCATGAGGGCAGCTTTCTTTTCCTTCTGCTCTCTCCACGTGTCTCCATCCGTCTGGAACGTAACAGTGGCATGACGGACAGTGAAGACCATCTGTGGCTGCTGGGCAGCTTCTTTTACCTGCCAAACACAAACACAAGTTGCATCGTATGTGCCTCAGTCAGCTGATTCCACACAGCAGGTACACAACCAAACTATGCAAGTGGTAGCCACAGTCCACGGGGAAACGCGGGCCACCTACGTCACGCTCTAATGGAGGGGACAGCGGTTGTATGACGCCCTTCTGGGTAACGGAGATGATTTTTAAGTGAGGCTAGAAATTAAGAGAGTAGCGCTATACGGGCATGTGGAATTGCTCACACAGCATCACACGGAGATTATTTCCCCCTTTACAATCAAATCAGTAGAAAAGGCACACACCCACATGCTGTGCACAGAAGCCTCCTTGCTTTCTCTGAACCCATTGAGTTTAAGAGTCCTTCTTAGTAGGAGAGGCAAGAAAATGAGCATACATTTCCTTTCTCCCCCCAAGAAGTCTTTACAGTGCACAGTCACCATGCCTGGGATGAGCTGACACGATGTAGCCACAGTTAGGAAGGATTTACAAAGATGTTCTGTACCTGTCTTCGGTGTGGGTCAGTTCACAGTCTCTCCAAAACCACAGCTGCTTGCCAGGTTACCGTCCCCAGTGGAGATGGGATCCTACCCATTCACACCCCCACACGTCTTCCCAGGGGAGGAACGGTGACCACTTACTCACGCTCGCGAGCACTGATTCAGCATTCCACAGGGGGACCTCTGTGAGTCACCACACGCCCACGTGGAGCTCAGGCTCACAAGCTGACCCAAAGTTGTTTAAGCTACACCTTGCTGAGGGACTCGGAAGGAGTCAAAAAACTGGGCTTGCAAGCTTTGCAGGGAACTTTCCCTTGAAAGACTCCAAGACTCATAGGGCTTTGGTGGAATGCTGTTTGCCTGCATGCTTTAGTTTTAAGTTACCCCCATGCTGCAAGGGCTCGGCTGCTACCAGCAGTTGACTAGGCTGAAACACAACCAAGCTGACCTACCTCAAGGCCTTCTGGTGCAATGGGGGTGATAGAGTTGCTCTTCTGAGATCCCATTCGAAACTTGGCGGCCTTGTAGATCTTCCAGTACACAAAGAGCACCACGCAGAGGGGCAGGTAGAAGGCGCCAAAGGTGGAGAAGATGGTGTAGGAAGGCTCCTGGCTGACTTGACACTCCTCACTGTCCTCTGAGTACGTCTCTCCCCAGCCAAAGAGCAGCGGGGCCAAGGAGATGAAGGCAGAGAGGGCCCATGTGAGGGCGATCATGATGTTGGAGATGCGGCGCCGGGTGCGGAGCGTGTACTCCAGGTGGCGGGTGATGGACCAGTAGCGGTCGAGGGCGATGGCCGTGACGTTCCAGATGCTGGCGGTGCAGCAGAGCACGTCGAAGGAGATCCACACCTGGCAGAGCAACCGAGCGGGGCCAAGGAGATGAAGGCAGAGAGGGCCCATGTGAGGGCGATCATGATGTTGGAGATGCGGCGCCGGGTGCGGAGCGTGTACTCCAGGTGGCGGGTGATGGACCAGTAGCGGTCGAGGGCGATGGCCGTGACGTTCCAGATGCTGGCGGTGCAGCAGAGCACGTCGAAGGAGATCCACACCTGGCAGAGCAACCGGCCCGCACCAAGCTGAGGGGCATGACGAGGGCCGCCACCATCACGTCCGAGATGGCCATGGAGGCCACCAGGTTGTGGGGCACCCGGTGGAAAGTGCGCACCCGGAAGATGGTGGCCAGGACCAGCCCGTTCCAGAGGAACGTGGCCACCACCAGCATGGCCAGCAGGGTGAGGACCAGCACGCTGAAGACGGAGAGA